TAAGTTGATCATCAGTCTACCCCTTGGGTGAATAGCTAAAAAGTTAGCTTTGTTCCTTGTCTGTGAGATTGCGGTACCAGACTAGATAATGCCCTTTTCCTTTGTTGATAACAAATGGAGTAAGTACAGCCCTACTTGTAGATACAGTCTCAATTATGGTTATGAGTTCCCGCTTCTCATCATGTATCACATGAGGGTTCCTGTAACCCCTTCGACATAAGACCTTTGCCCAAGTAGCTTGACCCATCAAGAATCCCTTTTGGTCCATGTTAAATATCTGACATGATTGGAGATTGTAAAGGCATATTAGACGGTCTAACTTGGTGAAGTAGTCTTGTAAAAGGCCAGGATCCTTCGCATACGGTCACTGACGCTCCAGCCCACTGCTTAGCTTTGCCGCAAGTGCTGGGTTCCATGTTAAAAAGCATGTAATCCAATTCTTACCTACCGGTAATGGCTCCACACCTGTTCGCTTTCTTTCTAAGAAAATAGCCATATCTTTTGCCATGTCTAGCCATGGCAGGAAGCCATTATCATCCTGTCACTGACACCAACGAAGAACAGCAATCTCTTCTGATTGTAATAAATGTTGTTGATTATAGTGGGATTCAATGCGGCTCCAGTGGGTGCCTGCAATATGTCGGTAGAGTGTTCTCTTATTTACTTCGAATTCTTCTACTGCTTCGGATACAGCAATTGGGTTCTACGGCCGCTGTGTGTCTTTGATGGCTCTCTGGAGTCGGTCCTCGTATTCAGTGGTCTTTCTGGCATTGACTTTCCCCATTCTTGATGTTTCTGGAACCGATTTCACTATTTTCATCGGTAAGAGTGGGGTTGCTATTTCCCGAATACATGGTTTCAGATGACGCCAACGCTTGTGTCACATCCTAGTGTTGTGTCACATCACCGTTGTTTACGTTACCTCCCGACTCAATTTGAACGGTAATATGCAGCACAGACCACTCGAGCGACATCCACAATATTAACATCGGCTCGTGCATACCCGCACAAAACCTACACGACATCCACAAGACCCTTGTGCACAGCAGATATCAACGTCGGCTCATAAGGAGTCAGACTCCCCCTCGCGATAGGTTCCGAACCCAGAGACGCTAGAAGTGCCCTCACCGCTGGGGCATTCCCGGCCGCCGCCGCTCAGTCAAGAAGTGGTATAGAACGCCACACGACTGGTGTCACAGCATCCATCCCGTAGAGTAATAATGTCTCTAGCGCACTCCTTCTTCCCTCATGCTGGAAAGCCACTCCTCCAAACTACCATTTCCCGACCAGTCGAAGTGTTCCAGGATACCCCATTTTAGCATTTTCTCTACCGTGTACATGTCGCGTCGGGTGGCGGCGGAGAGCAGTGCTCTGGGGCCGTAGAGGCGTGCGGTTTCATGGCCGGTTAGGGGTAACACTGCGAAAACTAATCCCCTCGGCTCGCGACAAAAGCGTGCTAGACCTTACTAGTAAAGGCGACTCCAACGCCCTAGCTCGAATTCCAATCATTCGGGTTCTTACAGCATTGTATGCAGCTGTGATACGACAGGTGGGGAACGGTTAGCGGTTGTGCTGCTTTCACACCAAAAACCTCGCTTTTTCAATTGATGGTATGATAGCTCATCGAAAACTGGACCTCCTTTTTCCAAGATTCCCGATGTAGAGCCACTTGTGTATAATATCTCATGGCTTATTTGAAGCATACCTATTATCGACTAGGGTCCGAAAAGCTTGTAAAGTTCTAATACTGTCCCCCAAAAGCCATCACTATCAAGACCCCTGCCCACCACCACTTAGCTCTTCCCCATCCGGTACCAACACCGGGTCACCACCCCTATACCCATCCTTGATCTATACACTGGGTTCCCTCCTGCGGGCCGTCCATTCTCTTCCTAGCCCGCTCGTTCACTAATTTCTGTAATCAAGCGAATCATCACGAGATATCACTCGTTATTATGAGGTGATTGGACGGTAAGTTTACGATGCGCGCGATTAAGCGCAATACGATGCAATATGGTATGGTGATTTAGCATAAACCTACCGCATGCCCTTGGCCGAGCAGGTATCATACAGATAACGTCTTTGCTCTCTCTCAACCGAGATGCGAGAGGGGGTCGGGGTAAAGTCTACAAATGGTCCACAGTGGAGGAGGCAAAGAGAATCGAATTTTAGCTTTCGAATGGAATTAGCTCCAGCTGTTTCAGATGTGGATATCGGGGATCCAACTCGACTCTACCGCAGTGGCGGCACTCCCAATATGATACCAGAGCCTCATCTTTAAGTCTTTGTCTAGAAAAACTGAACTTTCTACACTATGTGTCCCCATTGAGAATGATGATGACATTACCTGGAATCAAATTGCACGATATTTCCGGTTTTGTGCTTTATAGTTGCAATCTAGTGTGAGGTATCAGTCCCCCACAGTGCGGTGACGTACGCCCCATTCGAACACTAATTACTACAGACCGAGCGAAAATAATCTGGGGTTTTTTCCACGGGATGGATAGATTGTGCTAGAAGTGCTAGATAGTGAGGAACCCGGCCTTATCTGCAAGTAATCTAACAACTCCTGGCCAGTCCTCTTGCACAACCCCTCCGCAAAAATACCATAACATGATTATCCCATCAACTCATGTCAGAAAAACACCAAACAATAAAAAATAGTTCTCTAACCCTCTGAGAATCCCTACTCCGGTAATTTCCCCTCGGAGAATTCACACCCCCCCATCAACACCTCATAAGCATCTCTCAACTCCCTCCTCAATTCCTCCCACAATCTAGCCTGAATATCCTCCTCCGTCTCGTCTTCCAACCCCTCCTCGCTATCCCCGGAAATAACAGAGCTCTCGAACTCCCTCTCCTCCTCTAATTCCCTAAAACGCTGCTCACTAGTGCGCACTGCATGCACGAGCATCATAGCATCCCACGCGTCCAACTCCCCCACCGCATCCTCTTCAAAGCTCCCCTCGTGCCGGGCACGTATACCCACCGGGCAAGCCTGCTCAAACGCATCCCATGCGTCGCGGAAATCTTCCAGAGCGATGGGGCATGGAGTTATGTTGCATTGCGAGGATTCGTGTTTAGCGTTGAGGCAGAGGAGGCATATGCGCTCTTGACAGGCGTAGCATTGCCCGACCAGGAGGTCCCTGGTTGGCTGGGAGATAGTGGCGGGAAGGGTTGTGCGGGTCCTCGAGTTCTGCACTAGGAGGGGGACCTCGACGTAGAATTTTGTGGGGCATTGCTGGTTCGGGCAGGGAAATTCGCCTGGGGAAAAGGTGAGGTTTTGGTATGGGAGTGGGAATTGGTAAGACATTGTGTAGGTTCGTTTGTGCGTATGCTTGTAGTTAGCGGTTGTGGTGAGAGTGCTGAGATGTCGAGGATTGGGTTCTTGATGCTAGCTTATATCTGGGTAGGGAGAGTAGTTATCTCGATTTTTTTCATATTAATATCCATTGCTTTTGAGTTGGCTGTTTGTTCTCAAACAACTCGATACATGTCATACTATTAGCACGTTTACACTGACTCGGTACAACCTTGATATTTTCCATACCTGCGCCATAGTATCACTATCTAAAACTACTCATTCGCTCTCACGCGTATCTTGTAAGACCATCTAACCCTCAAGATTGAATTTCCATCTTGAGAATACTCCGAACAGGTCGTTTCATAAAACAGACTACAGTCCGCCAAACCTCCAACCCCAGCATTCAAGGGTTCCAAAAAATGAACCATTCTACAACCCAAGAGTCTCATGCGCTCTGATGCGCCAATTCGAAAACAGGGAGTTGTTTCTGCGGATCCCATTCAAAATACTTACAAACACAAGGTTTGGGTTGTCTGTTTCTTTTTTTTTTTTTTTTGATATGGACGTACTCAAGAATAATAATTTCGTCTATGATGCCAGTGATTAAGAATCAATTCAATGATCTTTGATTTTTTCCTCCCCCAATTCCATAAGCTGACGTTACATAGCGCTCGAGCGCCAAATGGCCAGCGCAGCCAAGATCTAACCCCCGACCCCATTACAATACCCCGCCAAAAAAAAAAAAATCGAGTCCCAGGATACCGGTAGCTACTATTCTAACTCGGGTAACCTATAATAGCTATCTCAACCTTCATTAATTCTGCGCGATAGAGCATAATAGCGCAGAAGTCTCGACAAAGTCCCCGCTAACAGGGAGAAAAAAATTACATCAAACTTAGGCGCCTTTCAAGCATCCGCTTTTGATACGACGATACTGTGCTCGCGTCCTCGAGACAGGAATGGGCACCTCTTTCGGAATAGCCCCCGCCGATCCATAAAGAGTATAGAGGTGAAGCTGCTTTCTAATAAATATCACCAACCTTGATAGCAATACCTTCTGACTCTGAGGCTGAATGAATCTATCAAGCATTACACGCTGTTCTATTTCCTCACTACTACCTATAAAATTATATTGCGCCATAGTCCTTCATGTACTGTACAGTACAGTACTTGTAGTTCCAACCTTGATAATATATTTGAATGAGATATGGCTCGATTCCCTTCATACCGGGCGAATTTTGCGGCAAGAAAGGAGCGCGTCTAATTTCTCCTAAATGCCGTTGTCTCACAGGACACTGATACCTTGCGCTACTGACACAGTCTTTCAAACAGTGTAATTTTTATGGGTGAGGGGGTGCTATTCCAAAAGAGGAGCCCATTCTTGGCGTGGATTCAATAAAATTACCATACGTTTTAAAGACAGAAAACCCACCGATAGGCCTGGTCATCCCTAATAAATACATTGATATGCCCCCTATTAGGAACATTCCGAGGCTAGGTAGTTCCAGAACTAGCGAAGCTAAGTACGACAGAAACAAAGTCAAATCGTGGAATAAAACCAAAACCAACTGACCCTCAAGCGAAACTTGCGCTTGTATGTCTCTGGACACAAACTGCCAAGAGGCACGCTTAGGGAAGAGATGGACTCAGTTTCCGATTTCGTGGGCGAAGGAGCACTACCAGTAGTCTACGATACTATCGTACCAATTCTGCTGTTAGGAGGGGGTGCCGGTATCATAATTACATGTAAAAACAGAAACAATTGAGAACGATGCCAGTATGTCCAGAATTTACCCTCTCGAAAAGATTATCTTCACAAGGCACTTTTCTTGTTTGCCCCGCGGGGCACAATACCGCGCAATCATAATGTAAGGACTGAAAGACTAATGATAAATCATACGGCAATTTTGCTAGGATTAGCGGCAAACTTGCAAGAAATGAGTTCTCCAATTACTCTACTGGTAGTTTTGATATGTTGAGGGGGGGTTTAATACAAGTCCCCGCTCCATGCTGGCACGCGCGCAGCTGGATACCGGCGGCTCCCGGAGGGGGGTGGAATTGTTTGATGACTTCCCCTGTAGAGGCGGTGTTTTGAATGGACATTCAGAACTGAGATGGGGATGGGCTAAGCTTTGTCACAGGTATGAGCAACTAGTGCAACATTCAAGACGCTGGTTTTTTGCGGTATGAGTCCTCCGTGTGATGTTTTGGGCAGTGGCTTTGTGGGGTGTGTTAATATTCTGACGGGGATGAGGTTAGTCAGTCGAGATACGGCGTGGATACTGCTCGATTAGAGCTCGCCCTATCCACCTTAAATTTAAATTTATCTGGAGGAGGAGGAGGCGGATCTAGTTGCGGTAGGAGAGGAGGAGCTCGCGGACCATCTCCGGCTCGCTACAGGACTCTTTCCTCCTCCACAGCCTCCGAACAAAGAACGAGGGAAAGAACATTCTATGCGATTCTTCAGAACAAAAGAAAACGTATGATTACTAAGGCTCTCACTCCCCAAAGCTTTCCACCAATAACACTATCACCCGTACCTTATAGAATCAACTCCATCGCACCCGCCCACAAGTCATGTTTCGAATATCATCCAGCATCAACAGGAACGGACTCTTTGGAAAGAGATCGGAACATGTGGATGCGATCATTGGCTATAGCCCTCAGGACAGGACACGCACAAACATTCAAGCAAGTGGTTAGCCGTTGTTCGTTCATGGGTTGGAATACGGATCCTCGCGATCTGGACGAGGTTTTACCACCCGGCACATCCAAAGTGCATTCTAAAGTCGAGAAGGTGAATATCCATGGCCGAGACTGCCATCCATATTGCAGACTCTTGAGGAGATATTAGCTTCATACTCTCCTGCTGCTCTTCGCCAACTGCACTCCCAATAATAGTACTCAAACCTGATTATAGCGAGTTGCGATCAGCACCGCCTCCTCAAGCGGGACCCGCACTCGGGAGGCCGAAAATGGCACTCCAAACGGATTTTGTTTTGCCACTGTTTCCAGCAATCCGCCATTCAAATTCCCTTTTTTTCGCTCTGGAGCCCTGTTATCTCTGTACCCTCCTGACCCAGGATAAAGCCCGGAACCATCTTCCTTTAGACTGCAAAAATTCAGCTAATACAGTACCGGTACAAGCAGGAAAACTAGAGGGGTGCGGAACACCAAGGATTAGAAGGAACAGAATCGCGGAAGCAAGAAAGGTGAGCTCACAGAAGACATATTAATGGAGAGTGGAGAAGAGCTACGGCATTAATTGTTCAAAACAGTGCAACCCCACACCATCTAGTCTCTGGTTCACCACAAAGTCTCAATATTTAACCCGTTCCATGTTAGAATGACATGCAGAAACTAAAGAGATGCGCATTTGGCAGCTTACGAGAAGTCACTCAAGCGAAGCGCCACATGTCTCATATTAGTCACGTACGATGTCCTGCACGGGTACCCTCTCCAATTCACACCCGGATACTAATTGTCGCACAACCTAGACCACCCTTCTTTCTTCAGCCTTCCTCACGGAAAGTTTGTGAACTCCCGCGATACTCCAACAAATTGCTGCACCATTCCTAGATTCAGCCAACACCACAGACGGTATATCATGACCCATACTGCAAATACGCCATCATTCAAGATCGGCGACGGCAATGCGAACTGCGGCAACATAATAGGATGCTTCAATAACGCGAATGTCTATAAGTCCGATGAGGATGCACAGATCATGCGCTGGCTCTCTCCACTAGAGCCAAATAACAGGCATCAAGCTGTGCGCACCGACCGATTCAACGGCGTGGGGGATTGGCTATTGGAGACAAGCGAGTTTCGGGAGTGGAGGGATAGCGGCGGTGGAGTTGGTAAGCCTGTCCTGTTTTGCAGCGGGAACCCGGGAGTGGGTAAGACATATGTAATGTAAATTTCCTGATCCTTTGAGCGAAGCAAGGATCGCTGACGGCGAGAAAAATCAGCTCCCTAGTGATCGACAACTTGTGTGACCAGGCAAGGGGGGAGGATATCGCCGTTGCATGCTTGTACTGCGACTTCCTTTCCCAGCAAGAGCAGACAATCACCAACCTAATGGGAGCTATCCTAAAGCAACTAGTAGGAAGAGGGGAGATCCCGGGATATCTACGCGAGGCGTTTGAAGAAGGGAAGAAAGAGATTGGTGGTAGAGGGTTGACACTTCCAGATCTTATGAGAATGTTAAGGATCGCGGTTTCTTCGCTACCCCAAGTTTTCATCTGTATCGATGCTCTGGATGAATGCCTACCGAAGCATCTGCCGGACTTCCTCGGGTCACTGAGAGATATTGTTCGGGAGTGCCCTAGAACCCGAATACTCCTCACTGGGAGGCCCCATGTCAAAGAAGATATTCAAAGATATCTCGGCGAGGCGGTAGTGATATCCATCAGTCCTAACACTGATGATATTAGGAATTATCTAGAGATGAGGTTAGACCGGGACACTGAGCCAGAGGCTATGAACAATGATTTACGAGCGGATATTGTGAGAACTATCTTGGAGAAGATATCTGATATGTGTGTAGGAGGATTTAGCATTTCCCCTCTATCAATGATGTATACTTACAAAGATTGTTTACAGATTCCTCCTTGTTTCGCTGAACATGGACTCCATCCTAGGGGAGGTGACAGTTCGTCAGAGAAGAAAGAAGCTCGAAGAGATGACACGGGGCAATGGACTGAGTGATGCATACACGGCCACTCTAACGCGGCTGAAGGCGCAGAAGGGAAGCAAATCAATACTTGGGCTGAGAGTCCTGATGTGGGTAGCGTATTCGGAACGGCCATTACGGGCCCAGGAGCTCTGCCACGCTTTGGGAGTGGAGGTGGGATCTACAGACCTGGATATTGAAAATGTTCCTGCCTTACGGACACTCCTGTCATCTTCTCTAGGACTTGTTACAGTCGAGGCATCTTCATCAACACTTCGACTGGTGCACTTTACTCTGCAGGAGCATCTCTCAAGCGATCCGACCCTATTCGATAGTCCCCACTCAACAATGGCGCAAGTTTGCTTGACATACCTCAATTTTGGAAGTGTCCGGGATCTACCGCCAACTCTTCTCTCGGCCCCCTCAACAACCCCCTTTCTGAAATATGCTTCTTGCTACTGGGGGGATCATGCAAGAAAGGGGATGACGGAAAATGTGAAAACACTTGCGCTGAGGCTTCTTGATAGATTTGATGAGCATATCTCTGCTCAACTAATGCTATTGCGCTATGAGAAAAATACATACTCGCCACCTTATTATTGCGGCGTTAGAGGCCCTAAGGGATTTACAGGATTGCATGCAGTAGCGTTTCTTCCGATCGTAGCACTAGTTAGTTCCGTGTTGAAGATGAAGGAATGGGATATTAATGCGATTGATTGTATGGGGAGTTCGGCTCTCAAATGGGCAGCTATCAGAGGGCAAGAAGAGGTGGTAAAGATGCTTTTGGAACGAGGCGATGTCAATCCCGATATGGCAGATACCGAATATGACCGCACGCCGCTCTCGTGGGCTGCTGGGAAAGGGCATGAGCAAGTGGTGAAGGTTCTCTTGGGGCGAGGGGATGTCAACCCCAATTTGGCAGACACCGTTCATGGGCGGACACCACTCTCGTGGGCCGCCTGGAGCGGGCAAGAGGGAGTAGTGAAGATGCTTTTAGCGCGAGAGGATATCAATCCCAATACGGTAGACACCGGATATGGCCAGACACCACTCTCGTGGGCCTCTGAGAATGGGCACGAAAGAATTGTAAGGATGCTCTTGGAACGAGATGATGTCAATCCCAATGCGGCAAACACCGAATATGGCCAGACGCCACTCTTGTCGGCGGCTGAGAACGGGCACGAGGGAATAGTAAAGATACTTTTGGAACGAGAGGACGTCAATCCCAATGCCGAATATGGCCGGACGCCGCTCTCGCGGGCCGCTGAGAACGGGCATGAGGGGGTAGTAAAGATGCTTTTGGAACGACGAGATGCCAATCCCAACACGGCAGACACAGAATATGGCCAGACACCGCTCTCGTGGGCCTCTGAGAACGGGCACAAGGGGATAGTAAAGATACTTTTGAGACGAGAGGATGTCAATCCTAATACGGCAGATGCCGAATATGGCCGGACACCACTCTCGTGGGCTGCCGGGAATGGGCGTAAGGTAATAGTGGGGATGCTATTGGCACGAGGAGATGTCAATCCCAATACAGCAGACACCGAATATGGCCGGACACCCCTCTGGCGGGCCGCTGAGAGCGGGCATGAGGGGATAGTAAAGATGCTTTTGAAACGACAGGATGTTGATCCCAACACGGCAGATACCGGATATGGCCAGACACCACTCTCGTTGGCTTCTGAGAACGGGCACAAAAGGATAGTAAAGATGCTTTTGAAACGACAGGATGTCAATCCCAATACGGCAGACACAGAATACGGCCGAACGCCACTCTCGCTGGCGGCCCGGCATGGCCACGAGCGGGTAGTAAAGATGCTTTTGGCACGAGTGGATGTCAATCCCAATACGGCAGACACAAGGCATGGCCGGACACCGCTCTCATTGGCCGCTGAGAGTGGGCATGAGGCGGTAGTTAAGATGCTTTTGGGACGAAGGGATGTCAACCCCAACCAAGGAGACACCAAGTATGGCCGGACACCACTCTCTTGGGCGGCTGAGAACGGGCATGAGGGAGTGGTAAAAATGCTTCGGGAACGAAAAGATATTTTCACCGCCACCCCGGACAACCAGATCCAGACACTGCCGTGGCTCGCTTCCTCTACAAGACATCTTGGCGTTTTGAGCATCCATCCGGACCGGGTAAATGTTAATTCCAACAATGCGGATCACGGTGGCTGGGCACCTCCCCCTCTCCCCTCTGGACGCGTGAGCGAGCGCTGTGTGTTAGAGATGCGATTCAAACACGGTCTTCCTGACACCAACATCGCAGACCTTAACGCACAACCTTTGCTCCCATCGGCAGACCCGGATGAGCAGAGGGGGGCACCGGACCTCCCGGGCTATGTTTCCGAGTCCGCTAATAGTAACCGCTCCTCAACCGAACCATCCTTGCTGCCCCAACCCCATCCCGCATGGTACCTAAGCTTCGGGTACCCTCCCGCGGAAACTGGCACCCATCCCAACACCCGATCAACCGTCGTCACTACCATCAACTACTATTTTATCATTGCCACTTGCGCTTGTCCTTTAGTCTTATTAATTTACGTCGTTCCTTCTTTCTTACCAGACATATTCCTGCTCCACAAATAGTTGCCGCATGCAGACTAGTGTTCTCAAGACCCATCAATTCACAGGTGGTGGTTTTCTCTTTCTTCACCTTTTTTCTCCTTGAACCTTTGGTTAGACTTACTCCTGTCGCCCTATGCCTCCCCCCTCATTTCTATCATTCGTTTATATTCGCTCTTGTTTGTTTTAGGCAGCTCTGTACAATACGATACAATCCCTTACAACCAAAGGTGTCGGGATAGACGGCAACCTTGCAGCAACCTGCCCTAATACCTTATATCTGCATTCACCTGTTTATGTACCTCTTCCTAGTATTTCTTCCCCAACCCTCTTATAGAGAATCCATAGCACAACGGTACGATACTAGTGCTGTTCTGTGTCCCAAGAGGGGGTGCTAAATCGCCGGAATAAACCCCAACCCTAACCTCCCATTTGCGCATTTTTAAAAAACATCAATACAGACGATATGTCCATTGTGGGACCAACAAGAGGGGTAGGACTGTGAAGATCAGATTCCGTATGGTATACCAATTTCCGACGAAAAGTGTCACAATCGACTATAACACGGAGTTGCAAAAACGCCTACAAAATTTATTACCACCCTCCCTACGCTTCACCTAAGTTAGCCAGAAGATGATCCGATAATTCATGATTTTCACTATCATTAAAAACGTTAATCTACTTCCGCAGCCGAAATATTTGCAAGAACAAAAAAATTTGATTATTCGCATAAAGTTCTTTAGAACAGAACAAGCTATCCAACTTACCAGGCACGCACGATATAAAGCCATAACAACTTCAAGACGGAAAACGAAAAGCTTTCACGGCACCTCCTATCATAGCGCAGTACTGATGTGCGTGTTTGTATGACGCTCTCTCTGACGTGGAGGAGCATCTTCTACGACACCTATTTTATAACTACCACAATAATATTATTATGATATTACTGCTTGGCACACCACCATATCATAAAAAAAATCCCTTTCTTCTTAATGACTTATGCCCCGTTAGGCGTGCCAATGTGAGAAAACACAGAGTACTCGAGTATACTCGGGAACAGTGTGGTGTACTTCCTAATACTCAAATGAGGTCATCAAAGCCAGCTTCAAACGGAAAACTAGACTAACGTGTAGCCCACCACAGGGCAACCCCTTACCCACCCATACTACTGGTAGAGGAGAAGAAGGCCGTAGGAGCACTGATGATCGAGAGGTAGGGAAAATAAACATGCTGCGAGATACAGTGGCTCGGGAAGTGTACTCGTACTCGAGTAGTATTTTGAAACGTGACTATTTTTCCTACTCCTTATCCACCGGTGCTCTACTAAGTTCCCCTTTAGCTGGAATGGGCAGAGGGGAGCCTTCTAGCGGAATACTGGTACTTGTACGGTATGATTTTTTATCGGCCCATGCCAAATAGGGAAACTCCCAATCCCTTTCGCCAAAGAGCGTAAAAGAATCGATACCAGGATAGCAGTCGCCTTTCCAACTACCGTTGTGGGATCAAAAGTCCGCTGGGAGACCTTTAAGTCGAGCTATAACCAGAAAACGTGCTGTGTCGGCGTATTTCATTTGCGGCGAAAATGTCATGAAAGTCGGGCATTAATATCTTCTTTTGAATTAGCCAGCTTTGGTCAAACTAGTATAGAAATATGCTGTTTTCAAAAGATATCACGGTTTATTTTTATTGGTACGTGTCCAACATGACCTAAACTTCTCATGGTGAAAAGAAAAAGGGAAAACTCATTCTAAAATTCCAGAGCTTACATGTATGCGAGATATCCGACAGCGGCTCGAACCCCGCGCTAGTAGACAATCTGGGGGGGGATAACAAAATGAGTTAAAGACCCCATACCTACATAGCCATAAAAAGCAAAAGTCCTCCAATGAACCGGCTTGATTTCAGGAAGAGAACAGAAAAGAACCAAAAAAAAAAAAAAAACTCCGTTGCTAAAAAAGCAATGATGCAACTGCCCATACTACTCATCAAATCAAAGTTCAGCATTCCGATTCAAATCCCAACACCCCCAAAACACCCCGGGACGTTGACATTCCGCGCCCTTCATATGTTGCGAGGGTGCTCCGGTTGTCGATGCAGGGGCTGATGTGGTAGAGCAGTGACCGAAAAAGAAAAACTTCCGGCATTTTTCCACTGGGGGTGATGGCGAGGGAGTGCTCGTTGGTGTAACAGGAGGGTTCGAATTCGTGTTTGGGGGAGGGTCTAGACAGCCACCGAACCAACCATAGTGCGTGCAGGTTTCGGTTGGGGTGGCGGTGGCGCTAGTCCTTGTGGCGGTTTTAGTGATAATGGTGGTTATGGTGGGAGTTGTGGTTGCGGTTTTGGTTGTAGTCACGATGGGGATTGTGGTTGTTGGGCTTGGATCGAGGCAGTTGCCGAACCACCCGTAATGAGTGCATGTCGTTGTAGGCTTTGTTTCCGTAGATGTGGAGGTCGTCGTGACTACAGTTGTTGTGGTGGTTTCGTCAAGACAGCCCCACCATCCGGGTGTTTTGCAAGTGCTGGTAGAAGTGGTCGTCGACACGCTCGTGGTGGTGGTAGTTGCCGTCTTATTCCCGTCGACGAATTTCCAAAGGAAACAGTCCTCACAGCCATCATCAAAGATGCATTGGGGGACGTCATCATACTTCTCAATGATATCTTTAATCACGGCTTGGATTTTGTGATACCCAAGGCCCATCCTCCAGCCATGGTCAGTGACGACATCGTACACACACTCGAATCCACCATGGCATCGAGTCTCCAAAGCATACCCTGCGATCGAGCATCCAGCCGTCGGCCCGTTACACGTTCCCATGTATATCGGATCCGCAGTATTCCCAAAGTGAAAAACAGCCATACCATTGGCATGCCGCGGGTTATCCTTCGGAGGCTTCGGCAACCCGATCCGTTTAGCCGGTAAGGCTTCGCCAACAGCCTCAAATGTAACCACCGGAAGCCCATATGTCTGACCGAGTAGTGAAGAAACGGATCCACCAAGTGAGTGACCGACAAGCCAGATATTAGCATCGGGGTACATAGTCGTCACATTCGTGTATAGATTCAGGGCTGCGCGATAGTAACGATTCTCGGCTAGGATGGAATCCTTGAGGCATACGGAATCGCACGTATATGCCGTTCCGGAAAAACAATCACAAACAGTCTTCCACCAGTACGAAACCCTGGCACAGCAGCACGAGAAAAAAAGGTTGTCGTTGATCTTGTCATTTGTGGTCGTTTCCGCCCCATCAAAAACAGCGGGGGATGTGCCCTTAAGCCCAATAATAACCGTGGTGTTGGCTTCGTCCGCAAATATGTGGCCACGGAGCCCGTCCCCTTCCCATCCAAAATCACTTGTCAAATTATAAGGTTGCCCGATATCTAGCCAATCCTCCGTGCCCTCGGCCTCAATATACGCATCCGCTGCAATGTGAGCAAGATTCAAGACTGTTGTTTTATCGGTTATGTTGGGCATCGGAATGATTTCGGTAGTCCAGTCATCGTCGGAGAATGTTCTGGGATTGTGAGCTCGGTGGGCGTAAAGCATATCCTCAACCGTTTCTTTAGACCGATCCACCAAACGCGTGATCGGCCGAGCACCAGAAGACAGGCGATGCCGAGGGCGGGACCGGAGTTGCGGATCATCCTCGGTGGCAACTAGAGTGTCCGGATGGATGTCTAATCGTCGAAGCTGGTAAGGGTAGCTGCAATAGATCAGTAAAACCAAACTCGCCCTTTCGAAGGGAACATTTCTCACTGATCGGCTCCGTGGTGAAGGACATGGCGTAAAGACTATGAGCATACGTTTGTGAGTCCGAGTTCCGCTATGTTTCCAGGGGGCAAGGGACACCTACAAACACAAGATCAGACCCTCCCCCCCCGGCGCCAGGCCCCTTGGCAGCTCCACTACCCCCCAATACCGGCCCAGGCCCTAACACATCGCCAGGTTGGGTAGGCGTTGCGACTGCTGCTGCCCGGGGGAGAGAATCTGGGGTAGCTACTACGGTAGATAAGGGCGAGAATGCGAGAAGGGATAACAGTAATCTTGTTGTTATACGGGCTGCATCGGAGCACAGCCCTACAGAGTTGGGGAAAGTGACCATCATGCAAAAAGCGAGGAAAGTAGTGGACCAGGTGGTAAACAGTGAGAGCTAAGGAAGGGACCTCGTCATTAACTATCCCCCAAGCCTTGGCGCATTACATAAGCTTGTTGGGATCGAAGATGATTGGACGAGAAGCGATGTACAAGTACCGGTATGATAGATGTGCTGTTCCCGAACCACACCGAAGGAAATGCTCGTAACAACTAACAACAATAATATTATTCCTGCCCCAGCCTTTCCCCTCAAAAATATGACTCTAAAAACTCAACAATTTTGATCTGCATCTAGACTCCCGCAAAATCAGTTGGCACTGGTAAGGAAGAAAAGCTCTTATCATGTCCATGGTACGGTACCTGTACAGTACTGTACCAGTATTATTGTTTGTCTACGAGTATTTTCTCACTAGTTTCATCAATAATCACTCTGTTTGGAGAACTTTGGACTTTCTGTTAGCCGAATGGTCGCTAGCGCCGAAGCTTCCCGTCGGGCGAAATACGGTACCGGTAGCCATGGGTTGCCACATAGTATGATATTTCGAGACCGATTTTACCTGGTGAGACCAATAACCCTGACACTCCCAACACATTCGTAAACCTGAGATGGCAACAAGGCAAGCGAATATATCAAAACCCGAGAGGATAGATGGGTCCGCCGTGTCCCAGTTACACAAGGGCTTGTTTCTCAAATGCCTCAGGCTTTTTGAGGGGTGAAGCCCGTTGTCAAAGTCACCTTTTTTTTGGTTGTTTCCGGCCGCATCATTGTCAGGTGCCCAGGTTCTTATTCTCACCTGCTGTATCTATTAGAGAAGTCGTACCGGTATCCCTTTCACGTCAACCCGCCAACAAACCAGTAAGAATAAGCAGGACAACGAGGCTTAAACCCGAGGAACCGAATCCCCACGGACCCCAGGCGCTCTGTTCCCACCCTATTGTCCATGAGAGAGCCAGACCTTGATACCGGTACTTGTACGTTTTGTTCTCTAGTCCCGAGGAGATTTATACGGGGGAGCCTCTAGAACATTTCTCACTATTTAACCTGAGGCGTAATAACCTTGTGGCATCGCAGCTCCTTACATAATAGTGCCAGTAACTCCGGAAGAGCTTGTTTGGCGCTTCTTGTTCGATGTGGTACTGGGTTAGTGCGATGAGATTCTAGCGCTGGAGGTTGCGGTAGCGGGAATCCAGTGTTTGCGAGGAGGTTTGCCACTAGACTAGTAGGAACAAGGTAGTGGAAATACGTACAAGTACGAGTAGTTGTTGGAATACTCGAGTAGTGAGAAGAACAGTGCGGGAAGTATCCTCAGCAGAGATGAGAACAGGAAGGAGAAGAGAGACAGTTTAAGGGTCACAGATTGGCGGAGGAGAGAAGATGATCATCTCCTTTTAGGTATTCACCGGAAGGTGTTCTATTACCACGAGAACCGGCACAGCTGAGTGACTAAGCAATAGCCCTCCTTCTACGTGCAGCCTACCGTAACTCATTCAATCCATCACAATAGTTCTCTCATATTGTTTTTTTAGCAAGCCGGCATTGGATCCATAGACTACTCGTACGTCTCGGTATTTGTCTCATTCTTTATCGAGTTGCGAACTGAAGATGCTGTTCGGTATTTCTGAGCACTAAGCTGTTGCAACCGGTCATCCGAGGGGAGCGAGCTTGGAATACCGTCCCAATTTTATAAAAGTATTCGGACAACTTGGCATTATTAGTAACTGTCTTGGCGTCAAGTGTCTGAAAACTTTATAAACGGTCAAGTGAGCGAAGGTAAAACGCTACTTGACCTACTCCCGCCGAGCCCCGCCTCCCCGCGTTCTATTTCCATGACTTCCCCACCGTGACGCCTTAACCAGCATGACTTCTGTTCGAGGTGACCATGCCCTCCATCTCCCTTCTCCTCCCAGCTATTTTCCTTTACTGCTTGATTTCGCCTATCATGCACTCTCCGGTTGCTGACAGAAGCATGGACCAAATGATAGTTCCCTCCCCATCTAGTTCTCCCTCCCCATCTCTGCGGTCTTCTTCTCCAGATAGGCCTGGGCTGAGGGGAGCTCGCTCCTTTTCTCGCTTAGAGCCATCAACCTCGAACCCCCTTTCGAAGTTACAGACGGAGCTCACAATCCCGGAGGTTCCGGATTCACCCCCCGCTGCTTCGTCCGTTTCTAGGCTCGAGGAAAGCGAGGATGACGAAGGCCCCCCGCTACCTTTGCCGGATGGGTTCGATGATCTCCCTATTGAGCTTCTCAGTTTGACAGATCGGTAGGTGTTTTCCTTCGTTTTCGCGCATGCTGTAAACAGCAGTACTGAGTATAGAGGATGGCTATTGAGAAACATTAGTTTTATAGACTCCTTAGCAATGAAAATCCACCCGACGCCCCTGGCAGTTGCACAGCTTATGGAGGTCTTCCAGCAGTTTTACCTCACGGCTTTTCAACATGTCGATACTCACGTTTCACATTCTTACCTATCTTTGGCGTCTAAGAAACCGCGGGCGTCCCCGGCAGCATCCAAGAACCCGACCCAGATGCTCTCTATCAGCGAGATTTCTCAGAAGAAAAAGGATCGGAGGCTTTTAGAAGCCAAGCGATTGGCTCTCGAAGAAGCGGTGGAGAGAAGGATTACCGAGGGCCTTTACGATCGCATCTGGAGGCATCAGAGCACGGATGATGAAGCTCGGGACGAGAGTTTGAGGAGTAAAATGGCAGCTCTGAATGTGGTTGGTGTCAAACTGGGCCATTTGGGAGTTGAGCTGGAAGGTGCGGAGGGTGATGTCGAAGATGAATTACGACCAGCGGTGGAAGCTTTGGTTGGAATGAACAACCTAAAGTTTCCCCTTGGAAAACTTTCATCTTTGAAGCAAGCTCATAAGGCGATTGTCGGTTCGATATCCTGCTTCTCTTTCCCATTGTTTGATCGAACTTTTTCTGATGTGTCTGTCTATAGATTGGCTATCCACACATAACTCCTCCTCTTCGGCAGATTTTATCTTGCCAACGCTCATTTATACCCTAATCATTTCGCCGCCAACCCAGGACTTCAATATTATATCCAACCTCTTTTTCATTCAAAGGTTTCGTGCGAAGAAGGCTATTGACGGGGAAGCTGCCTATTGTTTGACTAATCTTGAAGCCGCTATCTCCTTTCTTGAGACGGTTGACCTAGCTACCCTAAAAGTTGACGATGCAAACCCTCCAAAGCAACCGAACAGTCGTAGTCGGAGTGGAAGTCCGATGACCTCTCGCTCGCTGACACCTGATGTACCTTTCACACCGGTTGGTGATCCATTGGCTAACTTGTCCGAAAAACTTGCGATGGCTCACGTGGCCGCTGCATCAGCTGCCGCTTCGGCGCCCCAAACTGCTGCTACAAGAGCAATCGGATCTAACCTCTCTGCTTCCTCCTCAACTGCATCCTTACAACCATCAGCACCGGGAAGCGCAGCGACAAAGAGGTTGTCCTATCTTACTCCGATCGACCTTGCCACGAGTGCCGCTACAAGTGCTGTGAGCACTGCAGATCAGGGTATCAGAGGCATCGGCAATACCCTAGAAAGCAGCTATAAGTTTTTGTTTGGCAAGATGGAAAAGCGGGGAGAGGAGTTGCCGAAGACATTGGAGGACGCTAGGAGGCTTGTGGATTCGCTGGCTACAGGGGGTTTGGAGCAACAGCAAGAGAGGGCACAAGTGGTTACTACTGCCTCGGGGTTGGGTATGGACGGGGGGGCTTCTGCGGGTGGCATGAAGAGGATTGAAAGTACGACGAGTATTATGAGCAATCAAAGCGGTAAAAAGGCCGAAGAGAGGGAACATAGCACTGGTGGTCTTCGTGGCGCAGCAGCGATACCCGCAGCTGTAGCTGTGGATAAACTAGAGACTGTGATGAATTTAGGGACTTCCCTCGGGAGATTTGCCGTGAGGGGGTTTTCACGAAGCTCGACACCCACAACACCAGCTACGAACACAGATCCCGCGCCCGCCAGTATGCGAGCGCTAGGTGCTCCGAGCCAGGAGAATGCGCATAAAGGGCATAAGCGTGAAGAAAGTGCCCCGGTTGTGGATCTGTTGAGCGTATGCTAATTTCTTCCCACCCCGTACCGTGGAGCGTTTACTGACAGCTACAACAGACATTCCCAGACCTGGCGGACTCCTTAAAGTCACAACAGGCAAAAGTGGCGATAATGAGTCCGCCCCCTGTTACGAGGTTCTTGGAGGTAGACGACCCGGGTGATTTGAAAATTAGCGAGGTAGCGGAGCTATTGAAGGACTACCGGAGATTGGTGGAGGAGTTGAGGGTTAGGGGTGCCGTGGAATAGAGCTAGACTGGAGATCCAAAGGTGGGAGTTAGGGCGGAAGTTTTATTATTATTATTTGTTAGAAGGAGTTCCATGGGTTGGCTTTAGGATTCTTGTACAGAGTATTGCGGGGTGGAAGATTTTCTTTATGAGTTCCTTTTGTTTGCCTGGTGATGGGGCAATTGTTACACTGGAAAGACCTTTGATTTTATACTCGATTAAAAAAAAAGTTGAGCGTGGTGAAATACCGGCATCATAGGTCAAGTTGAAACACAAGCCCCATCAAAAGCCACGGCTGTCATCGCTATGATACATTTCCAATAATGGAAACCCACCCGCCTACACATACCTAATTCGGAACGAGAAAAACAAAACCCCGCAACCGCAACCAGGGCCAGAACCACGGCTACGGATACCGGTAGTTATGATACTAGACTACCGTACCGACTGCTGCCCCATCCCCTCAACCACCCCCTTCGACCGGTGGCAAGAACCACCCTCCGGCTCCCAACGCGACCAACAAATCCTCCTTCAACCCGTGCACCTCCTCCAGCGCTCTACCAACATCACTCCGCGCATCAATCCTACCGTTGACGAGTCCGCTCTTGACATACCATCGCCAATTCGCCGCCAAAAACCCTGCCCAAAGCCTCTTCATGCCACCACCACCCTCCCCCTCACCCCCACAACCATAAACGAGCCTGACCAAGCTCCACTTCTCGCAGCAGCTAATCCCCGCAGGACTGATAGAGTATCCGCGATCGTGCGGGATGAGTAGCGCCAGGATCGCATGCACCTTCGTCAGCACGTGAAAGGCCAATTCTGGGACCTCGTATCGTGTCGAGAGATTATAGAGGGCTATGTGGCATTCCAACTTGCTGGCGAGTGGTAGGTGTGCTGGGGGGTTGTAAGTTGAGGTTTTGAGATATGTATTTAGGAGGGCGAATGTTTCCGGGGTCGTTTGGTGTAGGTGGGTGTTTGTGGGGAGGGCGTGGAGGAGGGGTGTTGGGAGGGTGAACGGGGTGGAGCGTTCACCTATTAGGAAGGTTTTTGTGGGGGGGCTGGTGGGGGTCAGTCTTTTCTTGGGAGGGGTTAGATTGTAGAGGGGGGGCTGAGGGAATATATACCTTGAGGGGGTGGGGGTAGGGGTGGGGAAGACTTGGGGATGTGGGGTTCCTGTGGTAGGGCTTCTGGCGGCTTTGGTGTTTTCTGCTGAGTGTCGTGTGGTTGAATGGTGAAGATCTTTTTGAATGTTACCAGTAAGGCCATTTTGATCCGGTAGAGGCGCATGAAATTTTTGGACATCCTTGGGAACGCCGGTCTGGGGATGGCTTTTATTCTCATGACAGTGATGATTGGGGTTTCTTCTCGGATTGTATATAATCTGGCATACTAACTTGACCAGGAAACAGGTAGAATGGGAATAAGGTTCTGCTGGGGGCCGACGGTGAATAGAATGGTGCTTGCCATTGGGGGTATAGGGATAGCGTTTGATGGGTTTATGCGCGGTTGATCACTCGGTTGTATTGACAGTGCAGTGCGGTGCCGGCATCATAACCGAGTGTCTAATTCGCTAGGTAACTTAATCGGCACCTCGTTGCTCAAGACAATAGCCAACCTCAAGTCCCAGCGCCACTCTAGTGAACTTGTCTCTCGCTCTCGCAAGCTTTCCGACGGTCGGGGCGAACTTGGGAAATCTTTTTCGGGCGTATGATAGGGTTTCCGGGAGGAATGATCGCTCTCGCTGCGGGAGAAATCGTCCAAGCGCCAGGGACTGGAAAGTTAGAAAGAGACCCTAAGAATATATATGAAGAATGAGTCTGATCCGTCAACCAAGACCTCACAGTCAGTGCTACCGTTGCTGCTGCTTTGTAGTATGCCCCTCGCCTAGCGTGCAGTACTTACTACCCTTTCTTACAATCTTGTAGTAATTGGGGATCGACCACACCGCCATTTGCGGTGTGAGGGGGGGGGTTCGAGCATATGTAGAACTTGCGATAGGTCCGGCAGATGTTTAACTAAATTTCTCGCGGTTCGCGTCACACATACCCGCTCGCAAGTTAGTCAGTAAACCTGCTATTGGTTTAGAGTCTAGATTTAAGGAGGTTTGGGGTTTAGGAGAAAAGGATGTGTCAAGAGAAAAGTTCCAAATTTTCGTGTCCGATTCAACATCTGCGGGGAATTTCGCTCCCCCGAGGGGGACATGTCTGATATGTGGATACGCCAGGGCAGGGTGGTGGCTTGAGATTTCGCTTTTTCAAGTTCGGGGATCTTGTACCGAATTCAGAGAAAGTGCTGAATATTGGAGAATTCAGAAGGCGTAGGAGATGGGCGATAGTTTTGTCGGCGGGGTAGGGAATATGTCTATGTCGGTCGCGATCGGGGGGGGATACGGGTGCGGGGCCGTGATAGCGAGTTGTGGGCTGTATGTGATGGGGTAGAGGTAGGTTAGGATGAGAGATGCTGGGAAGCGTTATGGATTGCGGCTGAGATAGCGATTACGGTAGGTTGATACGTTACCATAGGATGATTGAAATTGAGAGTCTGTGAAGCCTGTGATACAAGTAGAGCGGTATTGGGAAGCGCTTGTGCGACCTGAATGATTGAGTTTTCTGCGGGGTCGTGGAGTTGATGGCTTTCCCCGCGCACTCACTCCTTTGATTCTCGACTCTTCTTTTTTTCCATTCATCGAGACCTAGTTGGAGAAATTATCTTTACGAATATCGAAGAACAAGATACAATCTCTTTCAATCCAGCACTTACCGATAACATGGGCAATCAACAATCTGGCGCGCGCTCCGGGGACCGTTCCTCATTAGAACCGTATGCTCTTGATTTTGTATATATTGGGGCTCGTTATGCTAAATGTTTGTAGACATGGCTCTCCCACCATGGCCAACAGTAATATCCAAGGTCACTATAGCGGAAACTCTGGTTCTAACAACATCAACTCGGGAAACATAGTCAACATTAATTTCGACCACCGGCACACGGTCCCGTCCCACGACCATGCCGAAATTTTGCAATGTCTATACACTTCCAAATACCAAGAACACAGAGGCCGGGTTCGTGAGTCGGTGGAGGGAACATGCGCCTGGGTTACGGAGCATCCAAAATATAAGGACTGGTTGAAAAAGGAAGCATCTGGTCTCCTCTGGCTATCGGCGGACCCTGGTTGCGGGAAATCTGTCACCGCTTCGTTCCTCATAAGTCATCTGAAAACCCAAACGGATGCCATCGTTTGCTATTTCTTCTTCAAATATGACAGCGATGAACAAAGGGGCGCAACGTTTGCGCTTTGCGCTATACTGCATCAGCTTTTTGCTCAGAGAAGCACCCTCAGTGTATTCGCCCGGGAAGCGTTTCAGGTCAAAGGAAAGGGGTTTACTGAGGAGGTCGATACATTGTGGGATATTTTGGTTAAGGCGGTAGTTGAGGGGGGGTGCGGCAATGTAATTTGTGTGGTGGACGCATTAGACGAGTGTGAGGAAGGGACTCTCAGTCGGCTAATCAGTCATATCACTCGTCTCCCTGGGCCACGGACTTCCGATATTCCTTTAAAATTCCTAGTTACAAGTCGCCCCTATCACAGAATCGAGAAGCAGCTCGGCTCACCCGCAACCACGATCCGGCTGAAAGGGGAGGAAGAGGTCACCGCTATTACAGCCGATGTTACTCGTGTTATTGATGCTGGCATTCGGGACCTAGAGTCATACTGGCAACAGCCTGGGGAGTTGGGATATTTGCGGGATCTCCTGGAATCTTCTGCTGATCGGACATTCCTTTGGGTTTTCCTCGTTTTCGAGATGTTGAAGGATAGTGAGGATGGCTCGCAGGAGGTGTTTACCAATATTGTCTCCACCGCACCACCCGATATAGCAGAACTATACACCAAGATTCTTGATAAAAGCGCAAACCCCGAAAAAGCCCGACGAATCCTTCATATAGTTGTTGCAGCGGCGAGGCCTCTTACACTTCGAGAAATGAACATCGCATACCGAATCAAGCGGGGGCACAAGGCGATCAAGGACATCGGGGATCTGGCAGGTGGTTTCGAAAAGACATTGAAAAACTTGTGCGGACTTTTCGTGAGGGTTATTGACTCAAAGATATACCTCGTTCACCAAACCGCGAGGGAGTTCCTACTTCAGGGATATTTCCCTGGCCTGGGAAACTGGCAGTATACCCTATGCCCTGAGGATTCAAACTTCCTTTTGGCTGACATTTGTATTGCCTATCTTTCACTCGAGGACTTTGTAAACGACCCGTTAGAGATGGGTAATTACGGCGACCGCGCAGCGCAGGCAGTTTATAATCATCTCCAGAAATATGACTTTCTTGACTACGCATCTAGAAACTGGGCCGATCACTTTAGAGATTCCCGAGATCGGCAGATGGAATTATTCGAGTCTACACGACTGATTTGCGAAGCTGGATCTAAACGATTTCGGACATGGTTTCGGGTGTACTGGTTCACCTTGAAGGGGAGGGATACATGCCCTAGTGACCTCACACATTTGATGATAGCTTCGTGGTTAGGGCAAGGGGCGGTAGTTGAGCAGCTATTGGAAGAGGGCGGATATGTGAATGTTCGATGCGAAATCTATGGCACCGCACTGAACATAGCAGCAGTTCGGGGAGACGAGACTATTACCAAAATTCTGCTCGAGAGGAACGTCAAAGCCTATATATATGGAAAGGTGTATAATATCTTACATGTGAAGAATCCTCTTGGTTTGAAGTGACTAGTGCACAACTGACGATAAATTAACAATTTTTTACAGACGGTAAGTGTATTTGTTGTCGTTCGGGAGAGCTGGAACTGATTCAGGAGTTGTTTTGCGTTACAGAAGGCAAGTAGAAGCCGCGGATACTATCTTGTTCGCATTGTCATGTGGCTGACGCTGGGGGCTTGTGAGCTATAGCGGGTGAGTGAGCTGGATTTGGGATGTTGGGCAACCCTCAAGACTAACTGCGGATTGACCCATGAGTGTAGAGTGTAAGTTGGCATTTTCAGTACTGGATGATTGCAGAATAGGGTTTACTGATTTGCGGGGAGTTACAGGAGGTAGGGAACTTGGTAAATAGCTCTGATGGCGAATGTGATGGCTAAATGGGGGACTGGGGGGTGTTCTAGCTGGTACGTAACTGGAGAAAGCGAATTTAGGGCATGAGGCAATTGCTGACCTCTGGTACGGGAGCGCTGTAGGAGGTAGACGAACAGGATCAACCCCGATTGTATGGTGAGGCAACTGCTGACCTCGTGCGCACGGAGGGTTGTAGGCGGTATGTGAATATGATCAACCGCGGTTCTGGGATGAGGCAATTGCTGCGCTGATCTCTGGCTCACTGGATGTTGTAGATTGTAGGTCGACGGGATGAATCTCGGTTCTGGGGCGAGGTAATTGCTGGATTAAACATAGTTTTGGGACGAGGCAATTGCTGACCCCGACTCGCTGAATGCTGTAGTCGGTAAGTGAACAGGATGAATCACGGCTCTGGGACGAGGAAATTGCTGACCATTGGCTCTCTACGTGTTGTAGGAGGTGGGTGAACACGATCAGCCACGAGTTAGTGATGAGACAATTGCTTACCTCTGGGTTGCTGTGTGTGGCAGCCTGTAAGTCAATAGGATCAACCTTGGCTTTGGGACGAGGCAATTGCTGACCTCTGACTCGCTGGATATGGTAGTCGGTAAGCGAACAGGATCAACCACTGTTCTGGGGCGAGGTAATTGCTGACCTTAGACTCGCTGAATGTTGTAGGAGGTGAGCGAACAGGATTAACTATTGTTCTAAGATGAGGCAATTGCTGACCACTGGCTCGCTGCGTGTTGCAGGAGGTGGGTGAACACGATCAACCACGGGTCTGTGACCAGACAATTGCTGACCTCTGGATTGCGGTGTGCGCTAGCGTGTAAGTTACCGGGATCAACGATGGATATGGGACGCGACAATTGCTAACCTCTGGATCGCGATGTGTTGTAGGAAGTAAGTGAACACGATCAACCATAGGTCCGGGTGCTGATCTCTGGATCGCTGTGCGCTGTAGAAAGTAAGCAAATATGACCAACAACAGGTCCGAGAGGAGCCAATTTCTGACCTCTGGGTTGCTGTGTCTTGTAGCTTGTAAGTAAACAGGATTAACCACAGGTCTGGGATGGGCAACTGCTGACATCTGGATCCTGTGTGCTATAGGCAGTAAGTGAAGATAATTAACCACGGGTACGTGGTAACACAGTTGCTGACTTCTGGATCGGTTTGTGTTGTAGGTAGTAAGTGAAGGTCAGCTATGCGTCTGTGGTGAGACAGTTACTGACCTCTTGATCGCTGTGTGTTGTAGGCAGTCAGTGAACGTGATCAACTACAGGTCTGGTATGAGACAATTGCTGACCTCTGGATCACTGTTTGTGTAGATAGTAAGTGAACGCTATCAACTACGGTTCGGTGGATGAGACAATTAATAACCTCCGGATCGCTGTCTTTTGTAGAGAGTAGGCGAATTTAATCAACCTGGGTTCTAGGATGAAACGATTGCTGACCTCTGGATCTCTGTGTGTCGTAGGCAGTCAGTGTCACTCAGTGAACGCGATCAATCGCCGGTCCGGGTTGAGGCAATTGCTAACTTTTGGATCGCGGTGTGTTGTAGCTGGCAAGTGAACATGATCAACCACGGCTCGGGAATGTGGTAATTGCTGACCCGGGGCTCGCTGTGTGTTGTAGCGTGTATGTGAATATGATCGACCGCGGGCCGCGTGTGAGTCAATTACTGACCTCTGGGTTGCTGTGTATTGTATATAGGCGGTAAGTGAACATGAAAAACCGCGGGTCTGGTATGAGGCAATGGTTGACATCTCGAGGGTTATATGTTGCAGGCAGTATGTGGGCGTGATCAATCACGGTTCTTGGGCAACGAAATTGCTGATCTTTGGGTCGTTGTGCGTGGTACGATAGACAGTAAGTGAACATGACCAGCCAGGGCTCTGAGACGGGTCAGTTGCTGACATCTGGATCTCTGTGAGTTGTAGGGAGTAAGTGACTGTAGCCACCCTGGAGTCTGGAGCAAGGTAATCGCTGACCTCTGGATCGCTGAACGTCATAGGGAGTAAGTGGACATGACCAACCACAATTCGGTAGATAAGGAAATTGCTGATATCTGGATCTCTGTGTGTTCTAGGCTGTAAGTGAACATTATCAACAACGGTTCAGAATGGGATAGTTTCTGAACTTTAGATTGTTGTGTGTTGAAGCGCGTAAGCACTCGTAATCAACCATAGTTTCGGGATGGGGCCATTTTTGACCTCTGGATTGCTGTGCGTTGTAGGAAGTAAGTTACCGTGAACGACCACTGGCCTAGGGTGGGGTAATTGCTGACCTCTGGGTCGCTGTGTGACAAGAGAGTAAGTGAACATGGCCAACCACGAATCCACGATTCGGTAGATAAGGAAATTGCTGATATCTGGATCGCTGTTGTAGGCGGTGGGTGATCATGATCAACCACGATTCGGA